AGGAAGGAAGGAAGGAAGGAAGGAAGGAAGGAAGGAAGGAAGGAAGGGCGGCTGCGGCGACATCTTATATAAGGAAACGGCATATTGAGTCAGGGTCATTGAACAATGCCTTTCGTGAATGTATGCTAAAACCCCCGAACTCCGACCACCTGGTCACCTGTGCTCCGTCCTCTCGTGCTGCCAGAGGACTCACTGGCCTTGCGATGGAACTCTACAATGTAGAAACAGCATTATGAACCAAAGCTCACCGCAACCATGATGCAAAACTACAAAAGCTCCATTGGCAGTGAATCCACCTTCTATTGCAATGGCCAAACTGTGGTTTATCCTCCTCCTCATTCAGCTCTTTCATGCTCTTTCTACAGCTGGCCTCTGATTCACAGGCTTGCCGCGCACGTCCCTGCAAGGTCCGGCGTTGTCAGGGTGGAAGTGCCAGTGAACTCCGGTCCTTCCTAGGAACATGCGACCTATGAACACATCTCCAGTCCCAGCTCGACTTGATCACCTTTGAATAGCGCAGCCTCCAAGAATTGACTGGACTCCGGCATGCAGCGACGGCCAAGCGTGGCCTCACAGTTTTAAGGTTGCCATGGCTCATGAACAGCAAAGCATAGTTGTTAGTGGCTCAACGATCTGCAGAAGCCTAGTGAAAGAAGAACATCTCGGAAAGAATAGTTATCTACTTGACCCACGACCTGGCGTCATCTTGGTACAAAGACAAGTCCATACGAGGTACGGAAGTGTTTTGATGAGAAAGGACTTGGCCAGCTCTGCTGGTGCTTCTTTGGTGTAAACAGAAATCGAAACTTGTGGCGGCAACGTGCGACAAGGTGACAATGGAGCCCGGAATGACAGCCACGATGAAAGGCAATCGCCATCCCCAGTTTCTCATCTTCTCCTTCCCGACAGTTGGCCGTTCGGCCGTTCGGTCGGGGAGGTTTTCAACGAAACATCCCTGCATGCACAGCTGCATGCACAGTGAATTCCAAAATTTGTTTTTTTGCTCCTGGCAAAAGTTGTTTGCAACATCCAAACACACAGGTATGTGTGCAAGACTTCTAGGCACTTGTTGCCCTCTACCAGTGCCACACGCCTGAAACAGGCCCGCACTATGTGAAGCTATTGAACCCAAACAAGTTCAAGTTCCATCCAACTTTGCCTGGCCCTCTGAAATCATTTATAGTACCACAACCAAACACACTGCTTGTTCGGCGAGAAAAAGGACGTATCGAACGAAGGTCCTTGAACTGAGGGTGGAACCCTCTTTGAAATAATGACAAGGGTGGTTCCTAATGTCCTAAGTTGTTTTTTTGACCCCTTTTCGCCTCACCAATAAGTTCCATCGCATAGCTCATGGACTGTGCAAAGAGAAAACCCATGCTGCAGGTGATTCCAATCCTGGGGCGCGCAACCAGTTGGATGGTGGGAACAAGCGGATCGAAGTAAATGCTTTGAAAGTAACTCCCGGCCAAGGTGCAACATAATGGATCTGGCCAATGAGTCTTTAGACCCAACTTCGGTGATGTAGGTGGACACCGCTGCAATCTCTCCACCTGTTGCAGCTGACTAGAGCCCTTTGTTGTCTAAGCAGCTCCATCACATCAGAGAACAACACCACTCAGACAGCAATCGTAGAAATCTGTCACATGACCATCGACATCTAAGCACCTGTACATATGCCCTGGAGCAGTCGCAGCAAAACCAACAGAGCTACGCCTCAGGACAGGCTGGCTCAGTCATGTCCATGTTGATTGTATGCAAGGGTTACTGTAAAGGTCATTCTGGGTCACTCTGGCACACCCGGTGCCATTGCCCCTCAAAGTTCCTCCAAGTTCCTCGTGCAACTCCAAGTCAGTTTAAACTTTTTAAGTCATCCAAGCTTCAAAGTGCCACATATATCACTGATTTTTATCACAGATATATATATATATATAAAGCTTGCAAGTCAGCGGTGCCGCGGATGGGGGGGGCGTATGTAATGGTGATGGAGGGAGCAGAGAAGCAAGCCGGGCGGCTTTGGGATAAGTTTGGTATGAAAGACGTTGTATGTTGGTGTAGGTCATCATCACAAGGCAATGGCATGTGTTTGTCACACGCAGGAAGGTATGCATCTTATGGAAGTTGGAAGGCGACATCAGCCTTAGCGAAGGGGAAATACCGTCTGAGTTCGAGTGGTGGGATACCACGTGCGCGCGCGCGCGCCGCGCGGCAGGCAGACCTTCTCTATAGTCAGCGTCGCCGCGCGCATGCGAGTACGGCATGCGTTTGAAAAGAAGCAATTATGTGTTTGTTACATTTGGAGTGTTTGAAGTTTGCAATGCATACTGCGGCACGTCGAAAAGCGGCATTCGTTGATTTGGAAGAGTGAATGGGCACGTCTTAGCCGGGACACGGACGTTTGATCCCGCGGCGCAGGGGAGGTCTAGCGGGAGTAGCTTGGGCTAGCAAAGGAGTGAGGATTTGTGCGCCTATGGACGCACGTGCCTGGACTTGAGTGAGTCATGTTCTGGCTCGATCCAAAACCCATTCTTTTTCCTTTGAAGGGGCCTTTATTCCACGATCCAAACACCTTCTTTATTCTTCTCTTTCTTATCAACTCTGCGCCTTTCTCACTCAGAGACCTTGACTTTGGCACCTGCGTGTGTAGATCTTTGGGCCGTGGACCCAGGCTGACTGGATTCGGCGAGGGCTGCCAGCAAAAAGGCGACGTCATGAGTCAGTAGTATATAGAATTTATCTATCTATCTATCTATCTATCTCTCTCTCTCTCTCTATCTCTATCTCCATCTCTATCTCTATCTCTATCTATCTGCACCAGCAAGCCGAAAAATCGTTCGGCGCGCGTGGACGCCGCGGGAAGCATCCACTCGACAGAGGACATGGTGCAAGCATAGTTTTTGCTATGTGGGAGCAACCCTATGCGGATATGTAGTCAACCTCGCAGGCATCCCCCACCGAAGCTCAATCCAAATTCATGGACTTGAACTCATGTCACTTTCGGTACTCTATGGATTTCGCGAGTTACGGGTTGTCCTGGGAACTCGTATCCTACATGTGCGGTCTGCTCTGTGCGTGGGTCCCCGTCTCCACTCGATTGCTCAATGCCCATTGTCCAAATAGCCTCCAAAGCCCTTCATGATGCCAATGATGCACTACTCGGCGTCCATTGCATCACTCGCATCACCAGACCCCATTTTCACTGCTTTTCCAAGCTCTGGGTTCACTCTCTCAAAAGGTCCCTCTCAACGACCACCCCCCCGCCACACCCCCTTATATAACTCACTTCGTTCGCTCTAAAAGCTTAAGCCTAGCCTTTCGTAATATACCAAAAACATCAAGTCAACCAACAAAATGTCAAGTCGACAAATAACTCCTGCACTAAAACCTAGAGTAAGCTCAACCAACCAAACACATGTTCCTGCAAAGTTAGAACTTCATGCGTAGGATGGAACAAGACTGGCCCTACTTCAGCCTTCCAGGCTTTGTCTTCCTTGTCCTTTCTACACATTTCTTCACTGACTCAGTACGTTTAAACAAACAAATAAAGTGGAATTGCATTCCCCCACATGCATTTCCTTCTTCCCGTTCATTCAACCTCCATTCCCCACCGTAGCAGGATGTCAAGACGCCGATACTGCCAGCTACGTCACCGTTTTGGTAAGTGGGCAACATACCTGGCGCATGCCATACGTCTGTCAGTGTTTGATTTGGATAATTGATCATGAATCGGCTCTGCTCGCCCCAACTGATACATTGGTAGGTGAAATGAAAATGCAAAATACTTGTCCGAATTGCGCAAGAGATGTTCTTTCCAAAGATTTTTGTTCTCAGCGCCCACCCTAGTTACTCTTCAGCGCCTTGGCCCACTGTACCAAGCATCATGCCAAAGATCGACACGAAGGTGGAGACCTGGAGAGATTCTCTTTTTGACGACCACGACTACTCGTGATGTTTTTCTGTTACTGCCTCTAGTGATGTTTTCTGGAACTGCCCATCGTGTCGTTCTGTTCAGCTTACAGCTTCATTTCGGATCTAGCAACCGGATAGATGTGTGGCATTTCGGGTCACCCCAACGGTTTCAGCCGACGCCAGGAAGCGACCGGCCTTGCGTCCAAAGAGGTCACCCAGAAGGCCCAAGGCCAGACCGCCCACCGGCCGCATGATGAAGGTGCAAGCAAAGGTCAGCCAGGTGGAGATGGCCGAGTCATGAAAGAAATGCCCTTAGAACGAAGAGGAAGAGTGAACACGGAAGATCCTTCGCTCACTTCGAAGGTAACGGAAGAGCGTTTTGGAAGATACAACTACAAGTAGTGCGAGGCTGGCCTCCAATGTTCAAAGGCAAGGGATTGGCTCAGTTCTTGAGGCTCAGCCGAAGTCCATGTTTCATCTTTTCACACGTCGCACGAAGAGCTACTTCAAAGACACTAAATCCCAGCAGTTCTAGCAGTTCTGTGTGCAAAACCATTTGGAGGTCGCAGCAAAGTGAAAGCAAAATGAAATTGATTTGTGTTGCTGTTCTTTTTGTGGGTTTTAATCTTCTTTAGCCCGCTCCTAAATTAAGTAGGCACCTACTTAATTAAGTAAGGGCGACTAGTTAGCTACTAGGAGAAGTTCGCTCCTAGCTAGGACGTAGGATACCCCACGCTGCTTCAAGGAAGCTCCCCCTGCCTGAGGGTGCGGGGGAGCTTCCTTGAAGACGTGCTCGCATTAATGATTTGGTATCTATATAGATTTTTTTGGAAACTTAATACTGTGAAGGCACACCGACCACCGGCAACATCAAGCACGAAAGGACCTACCCTCGAGCATTTGGGCATGGAATCCAGGGCATTATTGGAGGAGGCCAAGAAAATACCTAAGTCGGCCAACAAGCAGTAGATTCTTTTGACAACATGTACTCGAATGACTGGGCGGGGCGTTCTCCGCAGCCGAAGAAGCCTCCTGGCTCCGAGCTGCTCTGAATGTAGGGCTCCAAGAAGCTGAAGACCGCGAATTCGTACCTGAGTCGAATGCACACCTGAGTCTTGCACACGCGCAGGCAACAAGACGATGTCCTTTGGGGTGCCATTCCAAGACGTTGCCCAGCAAGAGGGCCCAGTAGATCAGCAGGACATCCCAGACCCCAGACCAGGAGTTTCCTCGGCTGCTGCGCAAAGACACAACCCGCGTTGACACGACCTCCACAAGCCTCCCCTCCCAAGTTGATCCAAGCTGCGTGGCTTGATCGTTTCTTTTGGCATCAAGCTGGAGGAGTTGATCAACCCCCATGGCTAGTCTTGTTGATTCACGGCTTGACCCACAATGGCTTGTAGATCCAACCTATAGGTTTTAGTGTTCAAGCCATTGACCCCGAGGGGCAGGCTTACTGCCGAACGGACGCAGAAGAGCTCAGGCTTAAGGTTTGGGACTAGGTTTGGGAAACTTCACGAAACGCGCAGCAGCTCAGTGCGGAAAGTGGATCCTTCGAAGAAACGGATTTGTGCACCAGGATCACTGTGTGATGCACAGATATAAGTCGAACGGCAGAAACCCTTGTTGACGAATCCTAGACTCCTAGACCATCACATGAAGGAATTCTCAGTCAACATCCGGTGAGGAATGGCTGAGACTTGATTTGATCGCCCGTGAAAGCTGAAGGTGAAGAGAACTTGGAAAATAGAAAAGTGAATTTGCAGTGTTGGTCCCCAACCTCCCTTGCTGAATGCTACCTATGGTACCCCATGGTAACTACCGTGGCCAAGGCCAAGACCAAAGTCCTTCTAAAGCATAGCATAGCGATTTTGTAGAGTATGCTCGTCCATAGCCACGTCTGTGACTGACAGAAAAAAAAAGGACAACAAACCAATCTGCCCTCCCCCAGCCTCTGCATCATTGGCGCACTGAATACGAGAAAGTGTACTGACCGAATCCGCAAATGTCGCTCTTGCCCGGTCTGCAACGTGTCTGCAAGGCTGATGGCTGTGAGGTTTTCCAGTCTGCAAGATGTCCGAAATCGCTGGTCTTTTGTGTCGAAATCGCCCGGTCACCGGTCGCTCTGGTCGTGGTGTGATCTCAGACTGATTCGCGACTTATCACGCGACTTATCACTCTTCCGCGCCCACTGGTCCTTGAGCCCGGTGGGTAGCCCGGTCGCCACCCTTTTTTCTTTGTCGCCTTTCTGTCTGTGTGTTGGTCGTATGTGTTTTCTCAAAGCTAAGGCCATGAAAAAGGCATGAAGGCCCAATGAACTCACCAAAGCAAATCAGCTGTTCAACATGAGTGTTTCATGTCACACAGGGCTGGTTTTTGAAGAAGAACTGAGTGTGAAAATGCCAAGTTTGTCAGATCTCCCACAAATCTGCAACTTGCCATTCGTACATGTTCAACCACGCAAGGGTATATGTCGTTGCGAATGAGTAGCAAATGAGTTGTGCATCTCTGCTTGAGTCTTCTGGGATGGAAGAGTTGTGTGCATATATGTATATGTGTATTTATATCGAGAGGGGGGGAGCGAGCGAGCGAGCGAGCGAGCAAGGGAGGGGGGAGATTAATCAATACTATGTCAGCCAGCCATTAGCGTGCTGTGGTGCAAGTGCAAGTTCAACGACTCAGTTCTTACCAATCGCTCGAGCAGCTCAAGGATGCGGACTTTTCCTCCTCCATGCATTGTGCGCACCTACGGCGGCCTGAGAGCAGTGAGGGAGTGGCAAAAAATGGCCGAAAGCCGCCACTATCAGAAGATTTGTAGAACCAGCAGCTTGCAATCGCTAATTTCTATGCCAGCACTTCTTGCTCAGTACTTCTGGTAATCGGTAAGAGATATGTGAGGGTGTGCCTATGTCGCTGAAATGGAACGCTGGCAAAGGTTCACTGATTCTTTGAATCCATCCTGTCCATGGAGGGTCAGTAAAGGCCGAGCCATCCAATTGAAAGATTCCAAGTCGACCAGCCCATCAGCCCATACCGCCCAGCTGGCGGTAGCTGGGCGGTATCGGCAAAAAGCCGCCCATCTATGGCCGCCTCAAGGATCGGTGTCGGGCCTCCCGCGGTTCTGCGCGCCAGCATTCTGTGCCCGGTTTTGACGTGGTGTTTGACGTGATTTGGCGTGTTCGACGTCGTCATACTGGAGGGACCGTTCGTGAGATCCAAAGAAGCTCACTTGACCCGGGAGATCAATCCGTTGGACCATGTTTGACTTACCCCAAATATGAATTTCGACAACAAACTGCCATGAAAATACCTCCCATCAGCCCCTGCCGGCCTCGATTTGCCTTTGTAGCTCCTGCACTTCCGACCAAAGCGATGCAGCTGCTCGCCTCCATCCGAAGGGCGTGGATGACCAGCTCCCTCCCACCTCTTGAAAGTCAGGCCTCAGCTATCTATCCTATGGTGATTCGATCCTGCCACAGTTGTGGGTAGTCAACTTCTTTCCCAGCATCAGCATCACTTGGGGATACCTCGGCCTTTTCGTGTCAGATCATGAGGGTGAAAGTGCATGAACATGCTCTCTGGGGTGGAAGCGCGGGGATTCTGAACAAACCTGGAAACCGGCCCCACGTGCGAGACAACACTGCAAAGGTTGCATCAGTTCTGAAGTTGCCAAGAATAACTTTGCTTGCAGCTTGAACAGTTCGCATCTGAACCTCATCGGAATAGTTGAATAATGTAGACTCTTGATGAATAACCCATCCCATTTGGATTTAAAGTCCTCTTCATGTGGGGGTATTATTAATCAAGAGGCAACATTACTTGACGTATCGGAATGCCCACCTTTCTGCATCGCCCCACCGCCAATCGACGAAGCCAATCGCCAGCAGTTCGCACACTCCACACTCCACACTCCAGCACCGGATATATCCCGCCATCCCACCTTTCTTTTCTGCACTCATCTCGCAATTTCAAGACCGCCTCTGCCCTCTCATTCTCCCGATCTTCTCTGAAGAACTCCTGTCCAAGTCGACCGGAATTTGATGGCATCGGTCGTCCATTTCGTCCGTCCTTCTCACGTTTCTGGGCACTCTTCAGGGCTTTCAGCATCTGTGGCAAGGCCGATTTCAGCTGCGCCGATTTCAGCTCTGCTGGTTTCAGCTGAGCCATGTTGCGCGAATCATTGATCTACGTGGGCAGGCTTGCCCAATGAACTCTGGCCAGTTGGGTAGTAACTTAAGGGGAGCCCCATGAGCAAGACAGTGTCATCCCAAAGAATATCAGGTGTGGCGAGCATACTATAAGTACTGTATGGCAAAGCGTGCAAGCTTCATCCTGGGCCGATGTCGCCAAAACGGCTGCAGCATTTAATGTCGCCCCTCCGGACAACAGTGTCACAGTCTATTCTGTGAAAGTCCTGTCTATGGCGTTCAAAAGCTGTCATGTTTTGCAACACAACACGAAGCATCCGGAAGACCCCGTCCGGAAGCAAGTGGAAAATACACCGAAAACGCAGCGCACTCTACTGCTCCTTTTCGGTCCCCCACACGCAGCACAGCACGGCACAGCACGCAGCGTGGCACTACGGTGTCGCAGTCTCTGCCGAGTGTCTCTGCAGTTCGGAGGGTCGCCAGAGTGAAGCGATGGCAGGGCCGAACCGCAACAGAATCCTGTGATTCTGGTTTCACACTCGATGTCCAACATAGTAATAGCATTCACAACAATTTGGAAGTCTACCTCGATGCGGGCACCCAACATTCAGTCAACCTTGCATTTGAGGAGGCATGATCCCATGGTGTGTGGAGAAACCTGTAGTAACCCTGAATACAAGGAGGGGGCAAGCAACCTTTGACCCTCAACTGCAGCCCCCAGAGAAGCTTGGCCGGGCAAGCTAAAACAATAAAACACCCACGACTGCAGAATGATTGCCTGAGCAACATTCTACTCAGCTGCACCCTGAACCTGGAGGACTGGCAGGCAACCCTTCTGGTCGGATCCAGAATCATTTCCTTTCGTATTGTGTGCACATGTGTGTGTGTGTGTGTGCGTGTGCGCGTGTGTGTGTGTGTGTGCGCGGGTGTGTGTGTGTGTGTGTCAGCCCCTGTTTCTAAGTGACTGCGAATCTTTGCAGGGGGATCACCCACCGGGATCTGCTTTTCAACAGGCCTGTGGATTGGTTCCTCAGTTTGTTAAACTGTTAAACTATACTGTTCTCGGACTCTCCACCATGCCGTTGACCAACCAAGGTCTATTACAGTAACTGTAAAGGGCTAATGCATGACAACTGAATATCGGATTGTGCTCTTCCGAGCGTTCTTCTAAGTGTCACTAGCTTCTCTGCCTTCTGGTCATGCTATTGACCAAGCAGTGATTATCTTTTTAGACCATCTTGCACATGGGAGTGGCATGACTGCCCGGGCACTCGAGAAGATCGATTAGCTGATTCACATACAGTAAATGGTCCATCAGCTGTGGCGACAGACTTGATTGGTGTGCAGAAAGTACGATCTCAGAAAGGTGCGATCTTCCACTTCCGTGATTTGTTTGACACAGGGTGTATGGGTGCTAGGACCTGCTAGAATGCTTTTCCCTGTGCTGAGATGTTCTCGAGAATACCAGCGGAGCCTGAGGGGTGTCACCAACTATATATGATATACTGTGAAACTTGGAATGTGAGTGGAGTACCTATGAGCTCACATGAAGATAGGCCAGCACTTTAAGCGGTTCATATCATGGCAATTCCGCTAGATTGGCTATGGTAAGCATGCTTACAGTATCTTTCTGAATATATTTCAATTACTCAAATATGTATAAATATGTAATGAATGATCAAATCACCTGATCAATACCTGTACCCGCTGTACCCACAAAGGTTTCACTTTTGCTCGCAAGTCTTGAGGTCCGGGCTGCCAGAGGCTCTAGGCGTCGTTCCTGCCAAGCGTGGCCAGGTGATGGTTCAAAAGGTTTCTCTGCCTTCAAGGGGCGTCCAATGGAGGTCCCTTAATAGTGTAGGGGCTTCCATTGGTGACCCCTTTGAAGGTGCTGGTGTGTGTTTCGTTTTAAATTTGTTTGCATTCCAAAAAATGAAAACACCGAAGATGGTCTTGCGACATGATTCATGATGGTCTTTCCATTTTGCATTGCAAAGTGATGGTCTTTAACATGCAATCCACACGCGCGAATGGCTCATGCGTTTGCCCGTGCTTGTGATTACTTTTCACGGCAGGTTTCTACCCCCGGGCATTTGTTGGTAGGTCGTGCCTGAGCTGGAGACAAAGGTCCAGATTTCCATCGTGGTGAACGATCTGACTTAGGCACTTCACCTGGCCATACCAAACGGAAAGAAATGCTTGTTTGTCTATAAGCATATTATCCATGCATATCCCCAGATCGCCGATATTCTGTGTACAAGCTTCAGGTCGAAATGAGGTATATGTTATATATTGATATTATGGAAACCGAGTGAATAAATCTAAAGCTTCAACAAATCGCACCACAGACAGAGAACCATGGCTGGTTCGAGATTTCTGGGATCTCTTCTTCGCATGTTTGTCTCCAAAATCAGGTAGGCCATCAAAAGGAACTACTGTTTCATCCATCTACTGGCCGCTAGCCATCATCCATGCAGCCGAAATGGGCTTCGGAAAAACACGAAACGCCCCACAAACGCCCTGTCCCACGGAGGTCTGGACTGTCACACCGGGAGCCAAAGCACCCAGGGAGCCACGCCATGATGCTGTGTTGCTTTCGCAGCTCTTGGACACCGGGACGATCCAAGAACCTCTCAGGTCTGTCGGAAGCGTGTCAAGATGTACGGGTTGTGCATCATAGATCACTGCAGGCAAGGCAAGCACGAAAGATCACCCGAAATCCAGCCAATCTTGGGGGAGGCACTTCATCGACTTCGTTCTCGTGTTTCTCATATTGGCCTCGGGAAACTGTAGACTGTAGGCCAGCTGAGTCTCAGCATTGCATGTTTCGCCATATTTGATGCGTGTATCATATCTGTAAATCCCAATCGAATCTAGAATATGACGCAATCAGAACTGCTAAAAAACCTTCTTATTACAAGAAGCTACGAACGTAACAAGTGCATCGCTACGTTCGTAACAAGTGCCTTACTAGTAGTAACAAGGTTCGCTACACCATCCTTTTTCCTCATCCCATTCACCAAGGCATACAGACGGCATCCCATTTGTCGCCGATGTCGAAGCGTTCGGACCCCTGAGGATCGCCTCACCTCCGCATCCCCTTTGGGCACCGCGGCGGTGGCTTGGATCAGGGCTTCCCGTTCATGGCCACTGTCCCCAAAGGAGAGGATGTTTCTTCTCCTGCACAGGTTTTTCAGACCCAAAGACATCACCATGAGCTGATGTCGCCTTTTGCTGGTATGTATGTCTCGACATAAACACCCGTCTCCAGAAGAATCTGTTTCTGGGTACACGTATGTACACGTGGCGTCACCCTCTACATAATTATCCCCTTTCACAGGGGTCAAAAATAGGAGCGCTTTCGATTCATGGCCATAGAAATGACAGGTGCATCAAGCAGAGTGCGATTCATCCTTGATGCACCCTGCGACCATGTGAAAGACGTGACGCCCTTGGCGCCTAGAGAGATCACCAAAGACCCGGCCGATCTCAAAGGCGAACGCCCGCTGCTTCCACTGGAGCGGCTGGGGGGCAAAGGACTGTAGGACCGTGAAAAGGGGTGAGGAAGAGATTTCTGCCTGACTCGTGTCAAGATACAGCGTCCCAGCTAGCAACAGAAATAAGAGTAAGTATTCATGCCCCTAAATCAGTCATGATGTGAACACATGTCATCCTTTAGGCTCCTGTGGGGTCACATGTTTGTGCAATGTTCAATATATATATATATATAGTTTTGTATAATTCAACTAGAAAGAGATTCTCATCAGCCCCTTTAAACTTTAAACCCCCTACCTCAAAGGGCGATGAAACCAAGGGAGTCTCGAACTGCGTGCGTGCTGAGAGGACCTGCACCTGGCAGAGAACCGACGTCTTCTGTGAAAGGTAATGGGAGGCATTCTGCCCAAAAGATCGACCCGGGTCAAAACAAGCAAGTGAGGAATGCAAACATCCATGCAACTAAGGCCCTACCAGGCAAAACCACTTGTATGTAGTTCTGACAGTTGTATGCAGTTCCGAGTGTCGCTGGCCAGGATCCAAAAAGGGGGTGTCGCATTCATGCTCGGTGTCATCCTTGTTCTATGAAAAGTGCAAAGAGCCTCAAATAGCTGTATTGCATTGTATTGCCAAATCTAACTTGCACAGTAGATGTCGATTGATTTGACTTGCACCATCTAATATCATTTCAAAGAGGTTCCCATATAGTAAAGCTTGTTGTTCAGCAACACATCTTGCGAAGTTGTCCCACTCCACACCACCCAAGATTCGAAACCCTCTCTCCCCATGGCCCCATCTCAGGCCTTTGCCAAAGCAGGGTAAAGATGTGGCATAAAACGTTGGCAGCTTTGTTCGACCTGTGTGACCGATCAACCCCTCGACGACGGGGTCCAATCCGCCGTCGGTACCGCAAAGCAAAACGAGGGAAATCCCACAGTCCAGGGCTACATCCTACTTTTGAAAACGGAATTAGCTTTGTCAAGATCTCTTGCTCAGGCAAACCTGGAACTAATGATACAATATACTATGTATATATATATAATGCTCTAAATCGATTAACGCATCACCAAGAAGGACAGTGGGAGCAAACAGGCCTGGGCTGCTCAGCGTCATATGCTCAGCGTCATGGGACACTGACAGTTCAGAACAACAAGTGTTTGCAACGAATAGATTTGACCTTTAAACCGTTCCTTCTGTCTTCCTGTCTTCCTGTCTTTCCTTCTTTCCTTTCACTTCCTTTTCTCTTCTCTTCTTTGCTTCTCTTCCTTTTTCTCTGTTGCTTCTCTTTTCTTTTCTTTTCTTGTCTTGCCTGTCTTTTTTCCTTTTTCGCATGGATTTCAAAACACCTTCACCTGCACATCTGGCCTTTTCTGGGGGGCCCACACCCATCCACGCTCCGCGTTCGTCACCAGCAACTTAGTTTGCTCCGCGTTCGTATGCTGGATCTGACCAGCCACAAGGCTTGATCAAGGTTTGGGATGACTATCTCGTTTCATGTGGCGGGCCGAAACCGTGGTGTCTCGAACCTTACAACGGACGAACTAAGAGAAGTTAAGTGGCCTTATAGGACCTTACTGGGGTACCTATGGGATAGTC